AATATTCTGACTCATGGGGCTCTTGGGATAAGAGCTTAGATACAGCCCTTCTGTTTTGTTCAATCCTTTTCTTCCCCAGAAAGGAAATGAACTTTGTTTATTCAGAATATAAAAGGAGTATCTTCAGGCTGCATAAACTCCCAGTTCAGAAAAGTCTGAGGAAGCCAAGCCTTTCCTAATAATAACAGGATACCCCATCTATGGAACTCCAGCTTCCCGAGGTGTCCTCTCACATATTAGCTAAATTAGATGGCGCTAGAGTTCTGGGTGGCAAAGCAAAGAAAATGGCAATTAGGTTATGCTCACCTCTGCCTGCGGGTTGCCCTGTTTGATTCCTACCCCTGTGAAAGCCAGATGCTTTTCCACCTTGAGCACACACCAGGGCTCACTCACAGGACTGCTGGTTCAGAGACAGGCCTGGGCTGGGGCTGGGAATTAGCACTGCTAGCAACCACACATGGAGCCACGGTGATGCTGATGGTGCTGACCCAGGACCACACTCTGAGAACCAATAAGGCAGATACTATTACACTGTGTGGCTAAGGAAATGAAGCTCAGAGAGGTCAAGTTACTTTTCTTAGACTGTTCAGCCAGAATGCCTTCTAGTTTGTCTAGTTCTGCGGTCTCTACACTTTCACTTCCTCTTCTGGGTTTCCTGCCTCACCCCACTCTCCACCTCCCCAGTATAGGAATCAACGCGTGCATCACATCCTTCTTACAATGCTCAGCTGGCAAGGCCAGCTTTGTATAGGAACAGGCAGGCGTTTTGCCCGCCACAGTTCAAGATCCTCCAATATACACAAACACCTCAGTTTTGCAACTCAGGAAAGATGAAAAATAATTCCTAGCGAGCAGACCACACCAAGCAGACCCTAGATGTCACAACTCCAGATAGAAGTAAGGGAACCATAGCCCAGATTAAGTAAGTGATGCGAAGTGCTCGCCCCTGAGACAGAGGTGAGGGTTTAGTCACCCAGATGAAGAATGTGCCTGGCCTTTTTCTGCTCTCCAGAGAGTGACTGGAGCCTCTAACTCATCGTCAGGGAATAGGGGAGAAGATGGTGCATTTTGAGTTGGCTAACCTTTTCAACCCAGGAGAAAGACAAGAGCCTCTCTGAATCAAATCAGCCTTTTAACTGCGTTTTCTCCCTTTGGCTCTGAGACATGCTCTGTGTCCTGCAGTCTGGCACGAGGTCGCTTGGTGTCCATGTCTCTGCTGAAGAATAGGAACTACAGTTTACTTTCTGGTCCCTTCTGAGTATTCCCATCTACTTCTCAGTGCCTGAGAAGGGCTTAGGGACGGTGTCCAGAGCCCCAGGAAAAATACATCAGCAGTGACTTCATAGTCCAACAGTCACTGAGAAGGAGACAGACAGAGGCCAGGAAAGGCTAGAGGACCTCCAAGACCTGAGGACATGAACTTGAGGTTTGGCCTAGGGGTGGATTTTATCCTGATTTCTAAAGGAAAAAATTTTTTTCCCTTGATACAGGGGCTCTCTAGAAAATTCCAGCTGGCCTTAACCTCACTGTGTAGCCCAGGATGGCCTGGAACTCACAGGGACCCTCCTGCCTCAGCCTCTCAGCCTGCCGAGTGCGGGATTATAGTCATGCACCAACATACCCTGCTAGGAAATTCCTTAAGACCTAGAATCCATTGTCTGGGAGAGAGATAGAGAAGGGACAGACAGCAGGAGGAGGAGTTCATGACACTGCCTGGGTCACACTGAGCCCTGCTGGAGCAGAGAGCCATCCAGCCATGGCTCTGTGTAGTGGCCACAGACAGGCCCTGACCCCTCCAGGCCCAGCCCCCATCTTGCCAGAGTTCCTTGTGCCAGGAAGGAGGGGTGTCTTCAGGAAGAGGTGGGACTCACTGTCCCTGAGGAGAGGCTCCGGTATCCATGTGCCCTTGCTGTCCCCTTGCCTGAAGTGGTTTGTGTCGCTTGTCCCAGGTCCCTAGTGCTGAGTGGCATTTGTCTCTTTTTGAGCTGCTATACTTCAGAGGAGCATCCCGCCCACATGAGCCCATCAGGGAGGGCACATGTCTCTGAGCTCTCTGGTTGCTCTGTTGTTTCTCTCTGGGTTTTCCTGTTCTTTTCTTGGGTAAAGACTTGGAAAAAACTATCAGGTAGAGATGACCGTCCCAGCCAGCTGGAATGTTCTAACTTTTCTTGATTCTAATGCACACCTAAATAAGCACATGCATCACGAGCTAGCAGCTTGCTGAGTTTTCACCAAGGGAACACAGTACTACAGCAGGAGACTGATGGTGTGACCCACACCCTTGCACCACCTTCCAGTCACCCCACTACCACCACAAAGGGCACAGATCTGCCTCAGCAGGCTGGCACTGTCGCAGCTCACATCACGTCCTCACTGCAGCCTCATTCCCAGTTCTGAGCAGGTGAGGCTGCTGGGCTGGCTTTGGTGCAGGGGCCCAGGTTTCGTCATTATCACCCTTCCTCCCCCTCTCCTGATCAAGATGGAACCTTGGCTCCCCAACCCCAGCAAGCATCCACCTCCCCGGGGGGAGCAGGGGCTGGTACTGGTCTTCTGCTAGCTGGTCTCCTCTACCCGAGCTGCTCATGCTGTCAGCCTCCTGACTCAGGGCTGGGGTCGGGGCAGAGTTCCCTTTCTAAGTACTTCCAAGGTCCCACCTATGGGAAGCCTGGGGGCAGGATGACTCAGCAATGTCTACGTGCACAGAGGCTGTGCTCCACATGCTGGGAAAACCAGCACGTTGCATTTGCTTGGACTTGCCCCATCAGCACAGCCCTCACTACCTGGAAGCCGCTTCTCCCCAGCGCCTGAGCTGGGCCCTCCGAGTACCTGTATGACTCTGAGCACGGCTGCTAGCTACAGCCTGAGCCTGTCTGCTTCCTCAGCTCTCCTCGCTTTCTCCTCCTCCATTCATCCCCACCACACATGCCCATTTCACTAATGAAAACTAGACTTGCTTTGGTGCTTATACCTTGCACGTCCATGCAGCATTAAACACTGCCCTCTGGATCCTCAGCCAAAAGTTGCTATAATGGTGCAAAAAGTTGGGAGGGCGGAGAGCTGGCCAGGGTTGGTTGTCAGGGGGGAATGCTCGAGATCAGGCCATGTGGTGCACAGAGAAGCTCTCATGGGAGAACCCTGCATCTGCAGGGCCAGTAAAGGTTTTCTTCTGCTTTTCACCCCATGATTGTGTTTCCTGTCATCTCCTCATTCTGCCCTGGGAGATTGTCATGGAGAGGTAAAGTACTCTGCAGAGGCTGGATAGTTGTTCCTTTATTCCCCTAAAGGCCGGAAGGCCCGTAGCGGAGATGGGTCACGAGGAGATGGGGCATGTTACTCAGGCTGCAGGGATCTTGGGAATCTGATCAGTGGTCCTCTTACAGAGTGTTATCAGAACGCTTAGGGGCCAGTGGAATAGTTCAGTGGTAGAGCATTTGCCTAGCAAAGTTAAAGCCTTGGTTTTTGAACCCATCCTCCCACAAATCAATCACTTGGAGGATGTGTAACAGGTTTTTTAGGCTCCTTCTTTCCTCTAGGTGTAGGCCCCCAAATCTATATTTTTGCAAATCAATCCTGGTGATTCTGATGTCAGTGACCCCAGTCCTGTGGTTTGGGAACACCAGTCTAGAGGACACTCCCCAAGTTACGGAGAATCACAGAGTATGGCCAAGAATCAAGTCCACCTTCAACACCTATGCACGCAAATGCATAGCCTGCCCAGGGACAGTGCCCAACTCTCTTGCTTCTTCCTTTGTCGGGTGTCTCCCCCTTCCCTCTTCCTGCCATCCCTGTACCCTGGAGGTGAAGACCCAGAACCCAGTTCTTGGCAAACAGCTCCCACTTCCCTTCCACCTGCCCCCTCCCACCACTACCAAGTCACTCTTCCTAACACACAGATTCGCTCCTGCCCCTCCTGGCCTCCTCTCCTGGCTTCCTCTGGACTGTTTAATCCAACCTCTTTCAACCTGGATACCCATTACTCTCCTATGAAGGCTCTCCAGGCACTTCCCTCAGATTTATCCCTGCTGTCTCTTGCCCCTGCTCATATGATGCCCTTGGAACTTGCTCTCCCCTCCCCGAGTGTCAGGAGAAAGCTTTCCTCTAAGAAGCTTTCCAGCCCTAGCTCTCTCCTCTTTTGAGCAACTAAAGTACAGAATCACTTATTTGTGTCTAGCATTATTACCTGCTGTATACTGTTTGAAATTGTGGACTTTAGTAATTTCCAGCTATAGACCCAGGGTTCCTCCTAATGACCTACCCACTTAATGGGGTGCCTTGCACATAGAAGGTGCTTAAGTAGTAATGGAGCTATGCAGGGTTAGAGCCGAGCCATGGGACTGTGGCCTGGAGGTAGCTGGTTGTTCAACAACTTTTCTGTGCTTCCAGCATGGCGGACACTCCCAAGGTAACCTTTGTAAGGAAAGGGCAAATCTCTCCCTGAGCCTACTTCTATGTTCCTGCCAGGGCAGCTACAAGCGGCACAGTTATTCCCACAGAAGCCCTGGGGGCACACTAGACATGTCTGTCTCTCTGCAGAAGACAAGCACCCCTCTTTCCCTAAGGATTGACCTCTGCCTCTTCATGCACGGCTTACTTACGGACATGGTCATAAGAAGTTAATTCTAGATACACTAGCAGATTAAGAGCCAGAGCTGGAGCCAAACCTTGAGAAAGGAGCCCTTTATTCTTTGTTTACTGTTGGGTAAATATGCTGCATAGAGAAAAGGTTCTCTCCTGCCCAGGGCCCCTGCAGCCTGGAAGTAGCTGGAGGGCTGGCAGGAATCTGCCCAGGAATCTGTGGCCCAGTGCCTGTACATGGAGCAGGCTGAACCATTCGGGGTCTGTGGCGTGCAGTCCTCTTATGGAACCATTGTTTTGAAACCCATTTGTCCCCTCTCTCAGCAATACCAGCATGGCATTTCTGACCCCCAAAGATACAAGGTTTCCAGGTTTTTTGTTAAATATTGCCATCTCCAAAAAACAGGTTTAAAATTGCTACTTACCCATGTAGGTCCACTTGGATCCTACAAAGAACAAAACAAAGCAAGTTAGTACATCTGAACTGAAGGTGGCAGGAAAGACACTACAGATTTGACCTCAGGATGGCTGAAAAGTGGCCCAGAAACCAAAGAGAAGTGGCCCCTGAGCCACTTCCACCCTGGCTTCCGCTTCTAAGAGACTCCTTGTTTCCCAGTGGACTGCGGCTGCGAGTCCCGCTGGCAGGCATGAGGAGGAATGGTCCTGCCAGGAGTACAGGAGTCACTCCCCTTACACTCCCTGCCCTTCCACCATAGTGCCCTTTATCCCTCCATCGAAAATGCATTTTCACAGTGCCGGCCCTCGCCGCTCTTCCCCTAGGGGAGGTTAGGGGTCACATCCTAAAGGTGAGGTGGCTCCGAAGCTTCTCGAAGCTTCTCTCCGAGCCCAGCGCCTGTGTGGCTGGGAAGCAGGGTGGGGGGGAGAAACTCAGAATCCTTTGCAGTGAAACTTGGCTGGCAGGTGACCTGCACGCTCATCAAGGGGCATTAACTAGGCAAGCCCTGGGTGGGTGGCTTTTTAAAACTCAGAGAGGACTTCGTTTTTTGACTAGTTTAATCTCATTTTGTTGTTGTTGTTGTTGTTATCCTGTTTTATTTCTTTGCGTCTGTGGTTTAATCTTATTTCCAGTTTTCAAATTTAAAACTGGTAGTTTTTTTTTTTTTTTTTTTTTTTTTTTGGTCTTTTTGGGACAGGGTCTCACTATGCAAAAATTTGGTAATTTTTATCAAAGGATGGCTCCATAAGACTTTAAATAAATTACCAGCCCCCTCATAGGCCCTAGCCATTTATCTGTTCCCTGGGGCAAGCACTATGAGTTCTTTTTAAAATGATTCCATGTTTTCTGCATACAGCAGACCCTTGGACTTACAAACTCAATTTGCACAGGAGGGCAGGTTGTAACTCAGGTTGCCAACTAAAGGCCCAAACTCCTCTCTCTACTCCAGAGTCTCTCTCTGTGCTCAGCAGACCTTAGTGTCCTTAGAGAGGCACTGGTCTAGGATTTCTCAGCCCCACACAGGAAAGGATACTGTAATGCTCCTTCCAGAGCTCTTTAAGGGTTAAATCTGTATCTGAGACCATCTGGAAGCCCAAGTGGCTGGCTTTGGGCCTAACTCAAGACTTTCGTTGTAAGTTAAAACTGAAATCCCAGTCATAATCCCAGTTGTTCACATGTTAGGCTGGTCGTAACTCAAGGGTTCTCAACATTCTTACATTGTTCTATGTGGTTGTCTTAGGGTTCAGGGTTCACTCAGGGAGAGAATTTAGTTCTCTTGCATGCCTGTCCCCTCTTTTTGTGGGTGAGGAAGTTAAAGTCCACTAATGTAAAGTGATTTGCCTAAGATCACAGGGGAGCAGAGTCTCAGCACATTTACCATTTGTTCCCATGAGCCTCTGAGTCTATGTCTCAGTCTTTGGAGCAGCAGGCAGTGGAGTCCAAGCTTTTAGGACTGTCTGATGATGATGTGTCCCTTTTCCCCATAAAAGTGGTCACAAGCTTGGACACACAAAACTTCACATATCACAAATCACAGAAGGTCCACAAACCACCCAGAAACTGGCTATGGACTCCACAGGAGTTACCTCCCTTGAAGCAGCAATTAAATAAAAGCCTTCAGAACCAGGAGGAAACAAACTTACATATGATCCCCAAGTTTATTACGAGGCCTCTTACTGAAATGATAGTGAAAAGAAAAGAAAACACTGCCTTAGAACAAGCTCCAGAAGATGTCAGACATCTTTTGTGGACATTCTCCTTCACTATTCTGGCCAAAGGTTCACTATTGAAATACACTCACAGATTTCAGAGACCTGGGAAGTCCAAGTATTGCTGCTCAGCCAGGCAGAGCCCTCAGAGCCCCAGGATATAAAATTCTCACAGGAATTCTCTCAGAAGAATCCATCTTCACTATCCCCAGGGAGATCCCTACTGCTTCGGAGCCATCTCTGCATCCTGGGGTGACAGTGCCCCTACCCCGGATAATATGAAGCCTCATTGCACATCTGCTGTGTTCCCAGAGCTCGAAAAGCTGAGGTTGCCCCTCGCCCCCGCCCCGAGATTTGGTGCTCTTGTCTTCAGATAGGCATCAGCGTGACACTTCAGAAAGCTCACAGATGAGTGTACAGAGGGCATGTCTGGGACTGGACGGCCTGGGGGAGTGACACAAGAGCAAGGACTTGAAAAGCAGCCATGTTCCCTGTCCCTTCTGGCTCCCTGGTAGTTGGGACTTGGTACTTTGGGTATAAACAGAAATGTCAGGCAGGGCTGAGGGGCTATAAGGCTGGGAGACACAGCACCGTAAAAAGAAGGTGAGGATTGTGCTGAGTCATGAGGGTTCGTCTGTGAAGATCAGGGTCCAAAGATTCCTTCCTGGCTTCACTTTCATCTCAGGAGGATGCCAAGAGGCGTGCACATGTGCAGCACTCAGCTACCCACGCAGAAGGCAGAAGTACGTTTATGCAGCTCAGGAATGGTACCTCCAGGCTCCCACCTCTAGCTTTAGGGACAGCAGTGTTAACAAGATTAAACCTAACTCCACCACCCAGGCCATGCCAAGGTTTCCTGAGGGAGCAAGCCCTTCCCAAAAGAGAATCATTTCCTTCCCAAAAAAGGCCTTCAGCTCCTTCGGGAAGAGGCATCTCAATGCCTGTTTGAACCTGCAAACCCAACTAGCACTGGGAACAGAGGTGCCCTGGAGGGATCCCACCAGCAAATGGTATTTACCAAGAGCCAGGCCTCTTCGGGGGCCCTGCTTGCAAGAAGCTTCTAAAGTAACAATCACCCGGGCAGGGCCAGAAGTCACTAGAATGTCCATTAGCCATGGCAACCAGGCATCCTAAGGTTTTCTTCAAAAGACCCTTGCCATCACCACGATCCATGCTCCTCCTTCCCCTGACCCTGAGTGTTTTTCTGGGACAGTCACCAGGGTCAACTGCGGCAAGTTTCAATGTCCAGGCAGAGGGCAGAGCACATGTAGACTCCATTACTCAGCAAGACCCTCTAGCTCAGCTGGGTTAATATTGGCACTCTGTTCACCTCAGTGAGTTTTTGCTTAGACCTTGTCCCCTGTGGCATTCAAAGAGCCAAGAATAAATAATAAATAACATGCATAATAAACAACAGAAAAAAAAAACTTGCTGGGCATAGTGGTACACACCTGTAGTCCAAGTACTTGGGAGGCTAAGGCAGAAGGATAGTAAGTTAGAGGCCTTGTCTCAAAGAAGCAAAATAAATACATTAAATTAAGAGAGCTGGGGGAGTAGCTTAGTGGTAGAGGGCTGTCTAGCACTGTGAGGCCCTAGGTTCAATTCCAGTACGGGGTAGGGTGACCTATTACATAGAACCCAAGTGTGCCTGTGGGAGGGGAAGAGTTTTGACTGCAAGCTTCCCCTGCCTCAGCCTGGAGCTTGGCAAGGAAGGGAGCTGGGGGCAGGGGGCCAGCGGTCCCTGGGAGAGGCAAGCAATGAGCTTTCAGGGAAGATAGCTGGAGAGTGGCCTTTTTCTCCCGTCTTGGAGCCTCCCGGGACTAAAAACGATTTCCAGTGTACTTCCATCTCAAGCCTACTTTCTCCCGACAGGAACACATTCCGAAGTTGGCAGTTTTAACAATGAGTTTCCACGTTTATGGAAGTGCTTTCCCCCACCCCGCCCACAGGAGGGAGACGGTGCTGAGCACATCATGGCCACCAGTCAGAATGCTCGGCCACCCCGCGCCCCTCCCCAGCTGCACAGTGACCTGAGAGAAGCGCAGAGCTTCGATGGTGCCACCAGTGCCGGCGGCAGGGAGCGACTCTCAGCCCCTCCGAGTCCTTCCATAAATGTTGCAAACCCACTTTGCAACTCCAGGAACTGTTGCAAGCCCAGGAACTGCAGCACCCACAAGTGTCCCCACAAGCTGGGGCAGACTCTGTCCAGGGCAGAAGCATCCACCAGGACCCAGGGCACTTTCACCAAAGTCACCTCCCCTACCCGGCCGACGGAACAGCAGGCAGGAAGAGTCTTAACCGAAGAATCACCCCGGTCCCCTCCCCACCTCAACCTGTCCCTCTCCACTAGCTCGGCGCTACCCCCTCCCCGCAGCTTAGGCGCCCTAATTACTATCAGAAATAAGGTGTGCGTGCGCGTGTGGGTGCAGACACATGGACTTTCTGGACAGTCGAGTCCACCTACAGAAAAACAATGATCAAGGATGGGATTTTACGTTATCCCTTTCACGTGGAGGTAAAACCTGCGGTGAAGAGTTTCTCTCTCAGAGGAAACACCTCCACTGAGCGGTCCGCAGTGGGCAGCAGCAAACCCTCGCAGGTAAGACTTTAAATCCTCCTTGGTGTGCAAACCACACCTCCAGAGAGAGGGAGCCGCGGGCTTTTGGCAGCCATGCAAGCATTTCAACGCCAACTGCGAGAGGCCACGCGCTTCCCGCCCCATCCAGCGGCAGCAATTCCTGCTTCGCAAAGAAAACCCAAGCATCCTTGCTTCAAAACGCGCTCTTTCGGATGCACCGCCTTCCCTCCGCCCCCAGCAGTGATCTGACCTGATCCTGCAAAGCCTGAAGACCCCTCTTGCCCAGGTGGGGCTGAGTGCTCAGCACTGCTCGGGAAGCGGGCGGGAACTTTACCGTTGCGCGGGGCCGCGCGGGAAGGCTGCGCCTGCAGGATCAGCAGCAGGAGGGCGGCGGCGGCCGCGCGTGGGCCGCTGCGGGACATCTTCCACGCGTCCCCGGCGCGATGCTCTCAGCAGACGGGGCGCACCAGCACCGCGCGAGCTAGTCCGCGTCTGGGCGCCTGGCTCTCTGGGCTGCCTTTATGTAGCAGCTCAGCACCAAACACATGATGTCATCAAGCGGGGGGAGGGGAGCCCGGCCTCCGGGAGGGCTGCGCCCCAGGTCCGAGGTGAGCTGTGGCCCGGATTTCAGCTGCCCTCCCCGCCGGCGCTCCTGGGGTCGCGGCTGACCTGGGGAGCCAGTGCTCCGCGGAAGCTGCCCTCAGGCGGGGGTGCGAGTGCCGGTGCTGGCCCGGAGGGGAAGAGTTTGTTTGCGGATCCCTTCAGCGGTGTGGTCTGGGTCCCTCACTACCCCTACTTAAGAGTCTAGTGCTCTTTGGGCCAAAGCCTCCTCCGGGGCCCCAGTGGCACCCTTACTTGAACTGGGCGCAGGTGAGTGACTGCAGCCAAGAAGCAGCCTTGAGCTCAGGATTTATTTCTGGACTAGCTGGTGTACATCTTGGTCTCCGCTGGGCGCGAGTGTTTCCCGTGTATGTTTGCAACCCCCGTGGCTCACCGCTGACCACTTTCCTTGCCTCCTTGCATGCCTGTGCTTTCATCTGTTTAGTGATGTGCATGCACTGTGGATCCCTTTTGTATTAGCTCTTCGGGTTCTTATTAATCTAGTGCCCCATTATCTCCTAAATCTTGCTGCTGCTGCCACTTGCTGTCCCCACCACTGAGATCACTTGTGCTTTTGGCTTTCCCCGACACACTCAGGGTCTCTGCAGAGCTCCAGGTGCTGGACTTGGTTTCTCTTCCCTGTTGTGACTACTCCCACTCTTGACACACACAGCTCAGAGCACACTGGCTGCGGAGCATGCCCATCCCCAGCACTGGCACGGGACCCCTCGGTTTGTGACCTGCCAGTCACACCCTCCTTTCCTGACCACAGCAGCCAGACCAGCCCTTACCAGTATCAGGTTTCTTCTGACCCTCACACGGCCTTAGTGACCAGTGAAGCCACTTGTTCACCTTGATTTGGGAGGAATGAAGCAGTCTCCCTGCTGACAACCACCCGGAAGCAGATGCCTCCACATTTCAAGGGGTATTACTGTCCTTTGGATTCTTTATCAGCTCAGCTATTCTGTGGTAATAAAAGGCTTTGAAGACTCTTTAAAGGAAGTTTTTACAGTGACAATCCTGTCACAGCCACTTCCAGACCACAGTAGGCTTAGGGTTGACCTTTTCTGCCCAATAAAGAGCCTTGAGCAAGCTCTGGAGTGGGGAAGGAGTGTTTGTAGTTCTTGTTCCTGTGTCTTTTGTCCTCAAGGTTATTCTGTTTAGACAATGAAATCGACTAGAGTGACACAGGAACCTGCAGGAACCACTGCAGTGCCACAGATTCAGGCCCTGGATGTGGGGAAGAGAAATCACTTGCCCTCTCCAACTGGTTGTTCAAGGCAGACTGGGCCGTGCACACACCTGCTACTGTTTCCTCCCGGGGTGTTTTGCCCATTGTGTCTGCCTGAATGTTAAGTTCCACCTTGCCTCATCATGGGTCTGTAATGGGTCCCTAAAGACAGAGAGGTTAAAAGTGGGGAAAGGCTGGGTTCAGCAGGCAGGTAAACTTAAGAGTCAGGAACTTGGTTAATTAGTAAAGCATGGAGGGTGATTAAAAGAGAAGCAAGAATATAAACTGTGGCTCAATAGCTGTAAGTATGTTGAGTGAACTTTAAAAAAAAATATTCTTAGGCAATCAGAGGAGAGAAAAATTGCACAGAATGACTGAATTTTGAAAGTTTTCAAGCTGAGGGGCTGGGAATGTGGCTTAGTGGTAGAGCTCTTGCCTTGCATGTATAAGGCCCTGGGTTTGATCCCCAGCCCTACACAAAGTATTCAAACTGAATATAAAGGACCACTCCCCCATCTCCCAACTCTCTCTCTCCCCCTGCAGCAGACAACATGCACATTTCTGACTTGAGTTCCCACCTCAGGATCCCTTTCTCTGCTTTCTAGAGCTTGTGTAAATGAGCTCCTAAGGGCCTATTTCACCATCACCAAAGAGGGCTGTTGTCAGCCAATAACTAACCCATTACTCAGGGGCTTAGGGTGGAAAGTGGGCCTTCTGTATGCAAAATGTGGCAACTCCAAATGACACACCCAGGCTCCCAGGCACAGTCCTCCTCTGGAATAGCACCAGTAAAAGAGGAGGGTGAGGCTGGTGAGTCACAGGGCAGAGGAGTGTGGAGGAAAGGAGGCAAGGTTGGTGTCAGGAGGTCTGGGGCGAAGGTCTGCCCCAGCACTCACACATTGCAACCCTGACCAAGGTTCCCGCCATCCTCCACATGCAGCAGGCTGTGGTCGCTGCCCCGTACACTAGCCGAACTGACATTTGGCTAGAAAGAAATAGGAGTGGCAGCATTTTGTATATTCACTCATTCATCTTCCATGTGCCAGGTACTGTACAAAGCACAGCCTTTGTTTTTGGAGAGTGCATAAACACAAAGAATCTCATGAATCACTATAGCATTACAATTGGAATATGTGCCTGGAAAAGTTAATAGGTAACTGAAACTGCCCCACTATGTCCTGGGCAGTGATGGGAGACCTCATCATGGGGAGCTTAGCTGTGATGGCTCCATAAAATCATTGAAACGCACAGCTATTGCCAGACTCATCTTAGCTGGTGGTGATTGCTCTTCCATGAGTTGTTAGCCTTTTGTGTTGAAAGGTTGGGTATTATAATCCCAAATATGGAGTTCAGTCATCCAAGTATTGTAATTCTCTTTCAAGTTCTCCTCACAATCCAAAAGGTTGTATTTGTAGTCCCACTGAGGCGTCATTGGAATCCCAGCAAGTTAATTCCAATCTACCACCACCAATGCAACCCACAGCAAGAATAAAGACACCAAGACATGTTCCAAGTTAAGGGCAGCCAAGGGATCCTAAATCCGATCCCCATGAGGACATACGGACAAAGGCCTTGATCCTAGGCCTCTCCCAGAATTTATTATCTTGTGAAGAAGTGGGGAGGGTAGCTCAGGGATGAGTGATAGTGAGGATGGCAGGAATTATGTGAGTAACTTGAGCTGGCTGGCCAGGTGCAAGAATGACATCTCTATAAATTGCAGAGACAAAGATATGCAGAAGGATCAATTTACATAATCTAACTAAGGTAGCAATGGAATTGTTTTGGAAGGCTGTTGCTTAGGTTTCTGATATGCAAACTCTTGTGCCCTGGGGAGTCAAGCCTCTTTATCTTGAGGCTGTACCCAGTTGACATTCCTGGAGCTAGTGGCTCTAACATCTTGCTGTGCTCCTATCCTGTACATATCCTGTAGGAAGAACACTATGAGAGGAAACAGGACTGTCAGTTGGCTTTAGAGATTACATATTAGCACCTGGGCTAGCCTGATTTGCAATGCTTAGGGTCCATTGAAGAGAGAAGGAAATACCCTAGCTAGCTTTTTACATATCTTTATAAGGAAATGGGTCTCCAAATAATCAAAGTCACAGTAATTGTTTTGCATTCAAAGGGAGTCACTGGAGTTGTCTCCCACTGTTGGGTATAGAGAATTTCATTCGTTCAGGTAAGAATAATATTCCTCTGCTGAGAATGCATGTGGAGCTAAGGAAAGGACTTCTGGGGAGAAAACCAGCATTTGTTTGGCCTTGACTGTTTGTCTGGTGGCCTGTGGCACTTTATTCTTATGGCAGTCAGCTGGAAGGGACAACATTAGGTGTGCTTATACCTAAAAGGAATGTGACGCTTGGCAAAGTTAATCCTCTCCTAACTCAAATTCTGAGGGCTTGCAATAGTAGAGACTCAACTCTCAGCTGACATCCTTTGTCTTCCAGGCCCAGGCCTGCCCCATCCATGCCTACAATGGGGATATTTTGCCACCAAATGCCTCTAAATTGTGGATTCTCCGATTTTCTAGATACCGATAAAGGTACAATATGACAATTTTAGCAATCAAATACTAATCAGCAGGGACATGGCCGCATCTTCCTCTCTGTACGTCCCTGCACGCCGATCAATTCATTGAGCATCTGCCAGGAGGAGCTAGGAACTCACAGCTTCAGCAAAGGAGCAGGGGACTTCAAGCCCTGCTACCCATAATCTTCACTGTATTAATGAGCTCTGCTCTAACCAAGGAGAGGGAGGAGGAGGGAATCAGACAGCAGGCAGAGCCAGGGGCAGGGGAGAGGAAGGGAAAAGGCCAGGGCTGCTGCCGAGCCAAGACTCTCACGGCCCCACTGAGCTGGGCACCAGCGTCCGTCTTTGAAGATGCAGTGCCGTAGCTTTCTTCACATCTGCTCTTCGCTGTGGCGACGATGGTGTGTCTTCACCTCTGTGTGAACCCGAACCACTCTGCTCTGTTTCAGGCAGGATCAGGTGGAGTACAGTGTGACCTGGGGGAAAGATTACCTGCTGGCATCCTGTACCAGCAAATGCCCTAGGACCTGATCCAGCCTCCTGCCTGTACGTGCCTCTGTCTTCTGATCAGTAAGCCCGGGTACCAATGTCTAACCCCAAGCAGGTGGGGGCCATCCATGGGCCAGTGTTTGGGTGGTGGGGAGAGTAGCAGCATTTGACCTACAGAAGCTATCATTCCTAAGAATGGACTTGAAATGCAGTGGGGCTGATCTCAGCCATGGTTTACTCATCCAAGAAAAGGAAAACTGAATTCCAACCAGGGAAATGAATTCTCACCCCACCCCTGCCACAGGTTCCCATGATTCTCTGGGCCTGTTAGCCACGAATCCTTCAGCTGTTGCTTTTGTTAAATAAGGAATAATGACTTTTCCCCAGGACTTGTTTTGTTTTGTTTTTGTTTTTGGTGCCGGAAATCGAACTCGGGACCTTGCACTTGCCAGGAGGTGCTGTGCTGCTGAGCTACATCCCTGGCCCTGTTTTTGTGTTTTGAGGTTGGGTTTTGCTGTGAAATTCAGGTTGGCCTTGAGCTCACTATGTACCTTAGGCTGGTTTTTTTTTTTTTTTTTTTTTTTGGTCTTTTTCATTTTTATCGGTACCAGGGATCGAACTCACGACTGCCTACTTGCAAGGCAAGCGCTTATGCCGCTGAGCTAAATCCCCAGCCCCCGTTAGGCTGGTTTTTAATGCATTGCAATCTCTAACATACAGGTGGGAGGAAACCAGCAGAGACTACCAGGCTTGTGTAAAGGCAACACGACCTGGAACTTATTGTGCCTGGATGCAGGCTGAGGGCGAGATCATCTGCCTGGAACAAAGAGAAGTTTCTCTTTTGATAGGAATAGAGAGAAGGCAGGGTACATTAGGCAGGAAGATTCTAGCAAACATCTGTGGTCAAAGTTCTTTGGCAGTCTTGCACCTCAGTGGGCAGAGTCCTTGAAGTGTCAGATATAAAATTTTGAGTATCTTCAGATATCCCAGGACCTGCAGAATTCCTTGTCCTATCTTATTTCCTTATTTCCTGTGACAGCCTTAGTGCTGAGCTGAGTTCCCTGCGGAAAGTAGTGCTTCTGCTGACAAGCATGTTGGGGGCTGGGGGAGTCAGGTCCAATTCCAACCTTACAGGTCCTTTTGCTTCAGCCTCTGAGTGCTGGAATTAAAGACTTGTACTTTTTCTTTAGTTTTTCTCAGGCTGGCCTTGAGCTCACAGCAATCCTCCTGCCTCAGCCTCCCAAGTGCTGAGATTATAAGCATACACCACCATGCCCAGTCCACCCCAGGACTTTTAATTAATTTTTTTGTAAATGATGAAAATTCAAAATTCTTTGCGCAGAGAAAGCTAGCATTTAAGGATGCTGTACAACCTTGATGCAACACAGTTTATCTCTTTCCTGGTAAATTATTTGAAAACTCATGGTAAACTGACACCAAGGCCACTTGGGAGGTGTAATTGATCAGCAGTACCTTCAGATTTCTTGCAGCCGTCTCTCTTTTTCCACCTGCTAGCTGAATATACTGTTTCCTAACTGCAAGGGTTTGATCCAGATCTTGTTCTAGGTCTTAGTGTGAATTACTGTCCTCTCTTACCCATCTCCTAAACCACAGAGTAATCACAGACCACATCCCAACAAGCTCACAAGTGCAACAGAAAGCGAGTAGTCCTGATGTCTAATCTGACGACTTCAGCCATGAGTCAGGTAGGCAGGAAAGCTTAGGAGAAAGAGCTTTGGTATCACATGAACTTGGGTCTGAAACTCAGCTCTGCTCCTCCCCATCCTGTGTGATCCTGAGCAAGTCACTTTCTGTCTGAATCTGAGTTTCATCCTGATCAAAGAGATGAGGCCCATAGAGGAGTAACAGAATAAGCAGGGCCCATGGAGGACTCAGTACAGTTGTCCTTAGGAAGCACTGTGCAGATGGTAGTTCTCACAGTGGAAGGGTCCTGACTGGCTGTGGGAGCTATTTCACCCCATTTTTCCAATTCTAGTTTGGGCTACCCCACCAACTTCCATAAAGCCTTAGGAAAAACTGGCCAAAGAGTTCAGAGGTTGCTTTCCCACAATTCTATATAGTCCTCTCAAAGATTATAGTTGTGGTTATCACAAATGTCTTTCTGCTTAAGTCATCACAAACCTGATCTTCCTCCTGAAGAAAGATACCTTCTAAATAAGTAGTCTCAGAACTGCTTCACCACAAGAAATGCCTGATCAGTGGGATTTTGGAGCTGGGCCGGACAAGTGCTTGAGCCTCTGAGCTAGGGGGCCCTATCTCCACTGTTTCTAGTGTAGTGGGAATGCATAGTGGGATTTTTCTCTCCCAGCTGCGGTTGTCGTGCTCAGGCTTTGGTGCCTGACAAAGAGCTGGGAGCTGGGTGCAGCTGCCCTTGCTGGTTTTGGGGTCTAGACAGCTGAGGACCACTCAATGAGCTTCCTCCCAGATTCATCAGGTTACGATGCCTCTCTGGCAAGGAGGCCAGTCTTGACTGTGACCGGCTTCCTCTCCAGCCCTGGAAAGAGGAAGGGTACCGGGTGGGGTGGGGTGGTGTTGGGAGCCGCAGCCCCGAGCCCGGTCGCCTCACTTGGCGGACGTGAGGCCTGTAGTAAAGAGTGAAGCCTGAGGTAGATTACCCCTCCCATCGAATATGTTAGTTTCCTGCTTACCGCGTAAACAACCCGCTCAACAATATAGTCTGCCTGGCAACTGATGATGTTAGCCAATCAGCTTGCCTTGCTTACTTTAACATGATTGGACACTGTACCCGTATATATATACTGGTGCCACCCCTGGGAGGAAGTAGAAGCCAGGTAGAAGCCCGGAAGTAGAAGCCCAGAAGGAGCCGCGGAGAGCGGACCGATAGAGGCTTCGGGGCAGACTGAAGCACAAGAGGAGCCTCGGAGAGCGGACCAAAGGAGGCTTCAGCTGGGAGAACCCAGGGCAGGCTGTACGGAGAAGAAGAATAAAAAGAAAAGGTTGTCCACTCCCAGACTTTGTCGTGTGTCCTTCCGCCGGCCAGAAGCGACCGCGACATTTGGTGGCCCGTACGGGGACTGATCACCCCCGAGACGTGAAGTGGACAACGCTCCAGTACAGAGCTGCGAGACAGGTGAGTTGGGGATAAGCCTGGGCTCTGGGTGGCGCGCACCTACAGGGCTTTTAGACTCCCCTCAGGCTCACGCGTAAGTGGCGGATTCCTTGGGCCTCACGCGGTGAGTAACATATTAAAAAATGGGAAACATGCTAGGTAGCGGCACTAAGAGCGAGGGTGGTTGTGGAGAAAGCTCTCAAGAGCTTACAAAAGTACGCAGGGTATCTGAGCAGGCCCAGTCAGGGAGCTCCCGAGAGGTGTCCGTCAAGGGGAACAAGGATGCTAAGGAGGAGGACGGGGCTCTAGCCTCGGAGTCGTCTGACTCCGAGGACGAGGGAAAGTTGAATGGCAGGGAGGCCAAAGAGACCAGCTGTCAGGAGCCTAAGTCGCTCAATAAGGAGTCGCAGGGTTCTTTTCCAGCGTTGCCCCGCGAATTGCGCTCTGCTCAACCTGGTCTGCGGAGGAGTAGAGAGCTCCTGAGTGCGCCCCGGCGCGAGAGGGAGGCAAAGCCTTCCGCCCCACCTCGGGGGCCGTTTCCGGAGGCGATTCCTCGCCACGAGGCGGCCGCCTGGGAGCCCCCCCCCCTTTCGCCAGAACAGGAAGTGATGCACGGGCCCCCATTTTCCGCCCAATCACGGCCGCCGTCTTATGCTCCGCCGCAGGCGGGTCGGTATTTTCACAGGCGGCTTTGGCAGGGGGGACGCTTGTCTCATGAGGTACATCCACCTGGGATAGATAGTGACCCCTACGAGATATTTCCTGTACAAGTAGCTATGGGCCAGGGACGCAATGTATGGGAGCCTTTTGAGATAAAGCAGATTAGAGAGCTTAAAAATGCAGTTACAACTTTTGGGCCGACTGCGCCTTACACCATTGCCATGCTGGAGAATCTGTCTTCTGGGCCCCTCACCCCCGCGGACTGGATTCAGCTAGCAAAGGCGTGTCTGCCCTCGGGTAGTTACCTGGATTGGCGAGCCTGGTATGCAGAGTTCTCTGCAGAGCAGGCTGAGAAAAACGCCAATCGAGGAAACCGGGGGTGGAACAAAGAAATGCTTATGGGAGAAGGTCGGCACGCTGATGATCAGACGCAGTTCCCCGGCGCTGTCTATGAACAAATCAATGCCATAGGGCTCCGCGCCTGGAAGCAAGTAAGTGGTGCCGGAACAGCCTCCTTGTGTCTTTCAAAAATAATTCAGGGTACCACAGAGCCATTTGTTGACTTTGTGGCCCGAATGCAAGATGCTGCCGATAAGATATTTTCTGATCCGGGAGTGGCTCGACCGCTGGTAAGGCAGCTGATTTTCGAACAGTGTACAAAGGAGTGCAAGGCAGCGATAGCTCCTCATAAGAACAAGGACCTCAATGCCTGGATTAGGATATGCAGAGAGATAGGGGGGCCGCTCTCTAACTCGGGAGTGGCTGCTCTCCTGGCCGCGGCTGTACAGCAGAGGGGACCTCGCGGGTCAGGAGGGGAATGTAAGGCTAAAGGGTGTTTTGCCTGCGGGGAGCCAGGACACATTAAACGTCACTGCCCAAACAATGCAGATGCTAGGCCTCGTCCTAGGAATGAAGAGCCATATGTTTGTGGGCGATGCAAGAAGGGATCACACAGAGCTGAGGAGTGTAGGTCAGGTTTTGATGCTCAGGGCAACCGTATTTGTGGACAAGATGCTAGAGAGCCAAAAAACGGCCAGAGGGGGCCCCCTTCACAGGCGGGCCCCCGCCCCAGAGACAGGACAGCTCAGGGTGGCAGCCTTCAACAAGGGCCACCCCTGGGTCAGCAGGTGTGGACCTCAGTGTCGCCTCAGGACTTATATTAGTGCCTGATATGGGTGTTCAAGTGGTTGAAACCACTTTTAAGGGACCGTTACCCAAAAATTCCGTGGGTCTGGTGATCGGGAGATCCTCCACGGCCCTTCAGGGTCTCACAGTAGTCCCGGGGGTCATAGACTCAGACTACACAGGACATATTAAAATTATGGTTCAATCTCTTGTGGGTACTATGGTAATCAATAAAGGAGACAAGATGGCGCAGCTCTTGCTGCTCCCCAGTCTCCACAAGAGATTTCCCTCAAAGCAGAAAATTAGAGAAAGTCAAGGTTTCGGTTCCTCAGGGGAAGTCTTTGAGGGACTCCATATGACACTTGGTAAAAGGCCTATGCTCTCACTTAAGGTCAATGGCAAAAATATAACAGGGCTCCTAGACACAGGAGCTGACCGTTCCATTATCTCCAGAAAGGATTGGCCTTCCAACTGGCCCACCAACACTGCAGATAACACGCTGCAGGGCCTGGGGATGGTGTCAGCTCCTCAGGTTAGTGCTTCAACCCTGCTCTGGTGCGATGAGGAGGGTCATCAGGGCCATTTCCAACCGTTTGTGTTGCAGTTGCCAGTGTCTCTATGGGGAAGGGACATCCTCACTCAGATGGATGTCACGCTTACGTCAAACTGCTCCCCCCAGGCTAAGGATATACTCAGGAACCAGGGATATACCCCCGGCAAAGGCTTGGGCAATGCCCTGCAGGGTCGGACATCCCCAATACCAGTAGAGAACAAAAAAGGTAGGCAAGGATTGGGTTTTTCTTAGGGGCCGCTGAAGAAGCTCTCCTACCCACTTCGATCAAAATCACCTGGAGATCAAATGATCCGGTTTGGGTACCTCAGTGGCCCCTGCCTAAGGAGAAGCTATTAGCCTTGTCAAAAATAGTCAGTACACAACTTAGATTAGGACACATTAACATTGTCTCCGATTCTAGGTATGTGGTCAATGCTATGCAAGTGCTTGAGACTGCCGGTTTAATTAGATCCACTTCCACAGTGGCTGGGCTGTTCCTGTCTATCCAGACATTGCTTCAGAACAGGCACCATAAGGTCTTCACCACCCACATAAGAGCACATACATCCCTGCCAGGGCCTATGGCACAGGGAAATGCAGCTGCTGACACTGCCACTCGCCCGTTATGGATTTTTACCTTACTAACACCAATCGAGCGAGCCCGTGCCTTCCATGTTAAGTTTCATGTCAATGCCAGGACACTAGCAAACCATTTCCATGTTTCCAGAGCAGATGCACGAGATATCGTGCGACTATGTGACTCCTGTGCCACATATAAACCTGCCATACCGATGGGAGTAAACCCTCGAGGTTTGATCCCTGGTGATGTTTGGCAGATGGACATCACACATATACAGGAGTTTGGGACTCTTAAATATGTTCATGTTTCCACAGACACCTGTTCTCACGTCATATTTACAACAACAAAAACAGGTGAAAAAGTGTCTAATGTGATCAATCATTGCCTGGCGGCTTGGGCCGCATGGGGCAAACCAAAGATATTAAAAACTGATAATGGACCAGCCTATATAGGCAAAGCTTTCAATGAGTTCTGCAAAATGATGGAGGTTCAATTAAAACATGGTATCCCATACAATCCCCAAGGTCAAGGAATCATTGAGAGGGCTCATAGAAGCCTCAAAGAAATTTTACAAAAACAAAAAGGGGGAGTAGGCCAAGGCCTGGCCCCAAAGGCACGATTATCCATGGCACTATTCACACACAATTTTTTAAATTTAAATAATGATAATCGCTCCCCAGCTGTGGAGCACTGCAACCCTTCCCCCAACCATAAAGGGTGGGTGAAGTGGAAAGATGTCCTGACAGGACAATGGATGGGCCCGGATCCAGTGGTCAGCTGGAACCGAGGCGCGGTTTGTGTTTTCCCACAGGAACCGGGACGAGAACCACTGTGGATACCGGAGAGACTGACACGGACAACAAAGCCCTCGACTAAAGATCAGACCTGCCCTACTGGAGATCCATCACAGACCAACCAACAAGATGAATAGAAATAGCGGTAGCCCGAAATGGACAAGAAGATCCTCAGGCATATGCATGGCTTGCTCGATTGGCCCACGACCGAGTCTAGATATGGCGGGCATCCCTCATTCTCCTCCATAAGGTGACAATATACAGCAGGGTAGGTGAGTCAATGACGGGTAAGAGCGTGCCTCCCCAGCACGACTCGACCTAAGCCAGGCCCTACCCCATCCTGCACGTAAGCCGCTGGACTGTTAGATGCTGCCCAGGTCTAAATTTCTCTCCGAGGGGATTTCTTTACGGAGAGGAAATGAGTGCAAGCTTGTGTGCATCCAGGTTCCGTCCAGTTTGTGCCTGGCCCTAGAAAAAGGACGAGGGCCTCAGGGCCTTGGCAGACCATGGGACGGCCGACCAGGGTCTAAGCCAAGGACCTACGGTGGGCCTACGCATAGGGCATAAGCCTCTGCACCCAGTCCAGGAAGGGCTACGATGCGCACATTCATAAAAAATAAAAAAGGGGGAGATGTTGGGAGCCGCAGCCCCGAGCCCGGTCGCCTCACTTGGCGGACGTGAGGCCTGTAGTAAAGAGTGAAGCCTGAGGTAGATTACCCCTCCCATCGAATATGTTAGTTTCCTGCTTACCGCGTAAACAACCCGCTCAACAATATAGTCTGCCTGGCAACTGATGATGTTAGCCAATCAGCTTGCCTTGCTTACTTTAACATGATTGGACACTGTACCCGTATATATATACTGGTGCCACCCCTGGGAGGAAGTAGAAGCCAGGTAGAAGCCCGGAAGTAGAAGCCCAGAAGGAGCCGCGGAGAGCGGACCGATAGAGGCTTCGGGGCAGACTGAAGCACAAGAGGAGCCGCGGAGAGCGGACCAAAGGAGGCTTCAGCTGGGAGAACCCAGGGCAGGCTGTACGGAGAAGAAGAATAAAAAGAAAAGGTTGTCCACTCCCAGACTTTGTCGTGTGTCCTTCCGCCGGCCAGAAGCGACCGCGACAGGGTGGGGGCTGGCTGAGCGCATGGGCAGCCAGGTTCACAGTCCTCTCACCCCAGGCAGCTCAGCCAGAGAACCGGAGTCCTGTCCTCCAGAGGTGCAGCATGGCCTCACTGCTCGAGCTGCGCTTAACCACTCCGCTTGAAACAAGAATCCAGAACTCGCTTTGCAGTGACCGGAACTGAGGACTTATACCTGCCTCTCCACTTTTTAACACTGGTGTGGTTTTGATGTTAAATATCTCCATTTACTACCTAGGATTTTGTGAGTGGCAGAAATGATGGCAAGATAGAGTTCTTAGAGAATGTTTAATCAGAAAATTAGAACCTCCAGTCACTTGGGCTCTTTCTGCCAATTATATTTCTCCTGGGGGTGGGAGTAGACAAAATATTTTAATGATAAAGAATGTGCTACTTAATCCCAGTGAAAATATGTCAAATTCCTCTGCAATATTTAGGACACACATCATAGCCCCTAATTGCAAAGTTTATTGGTGCTTATGACTAGAGAACTGTTTGTTAGTGGCAGAAGTATCAGAAGTGAGCGTGGTAAGAAATCTCTCTGGGCTCATTTTACCTGTGAGAAAGAGAAAAAAAATTAATATGCCACTAGTTGATAGGGAAGGAAAAAATGAGTTCAGAGACAGTGAATGGGAGCGTCCCACCACAGTGGGTCTTCTACTGGTGGGCAGCAGAAGGCCAAGAAAGAGAGCAGGAGAGGGGGAAAAGGACATTTATTTAAGGAAAGAGCGATGCTGCTGTGTAGCCCAAAGGAAAGAAGGAAGGAAGGAAGGGAGAAAAGAAGGAAGGAAGGAAGGAAGGAAGGAAGAAAGAAGGAAGGAAGGAAGGAAGGAACGAAGGAAGGAACGAAGGAAGGAACGAAGGAAGGAACGAAGGAAGAAAGGAAGGAAGGAAGAGGTAGCTAGAGTTCCGGGCTCCAGGTCGCCATGAGGGGGAAGTAGGGTGGGGATCCAAGGACTGGGCAGCAGTGATCTGTGATGACTCAGCAGCGTCTGGCCCTCAGTGACCAGAGGGCCAGAGAGTCAGGACTTGATAGGAACAGCAGCAGGAAGTGAGCACGTGGTTGTGCTGGCCCCTGGGGTTGGGGGTGGGGAGGATGGGAGAGGGCCCTTGAGGGTGGGTGTCCTCGCAGATCCAGGCGCTGTGGTGCCTGCTGATAAGCCCCCACTCTGGGCTCACGTGCTAAACAGTGGTGCATCCAAAGCTCTGCAAAGAAGCTTCTGGATTTAAAAAAAAAAAACAGAACAGTAAAATAAAACAAGTGATAGAATGGTAGGAAACCCACAATCCTTACTGCACCGCATATTGTTACCCTCTAAATAGTTGCTCAGACTACTGGCCCCAGCCTTGCACAGTGAATCAGATGAGGCAGATGTCAGGTTGCTTCCTTGGTTCAGTTATCATCTCAGCCTGTGCTGCATCTGGTTGCTTGGCAGGGCAGGGAGTGGAGGAAGTTTCCTTGCTGGTCCTCCCCAGTTTGGTAGGGCTGCCACCGTGGTTTTCTTATTTTTGCTGGATTCCTGAATTCTCTCTCTCCGTGGGCTTCATGTCTCAGTTCAGGTCTTTCCTGTGTCCCAGGGCCCCACCGCTCTCTTCCTTCTCTTCCTCATGTTGCTGTATTCCACAGTGTAGACACAAAAACTTAGAGGTTCTTTCTCTGCTGCTCACCACGTCGCCATTTGTCTGGAAATCTAGAAGCTTCTGGATTGAGTGCTTCTGGAACAAGAACTGTGATAGAGAATGAAAGATGCTCCATGGAGAGAAAGGCTGGGAGTCCCTGGAGAGGCACTGTTAACCCTTGTCCTACTTCCAGCACCTGTCAGACACCCTCCCCTACTCCATCCTGGCTGCTTGTTTTGCTCTCCTTTGGTCTATTTCATTTCTTCATCGCCCTTCGGCCCCTTCCGCCCTCAGCCTAGGGCATCAGTGGGTTGTGGTCTTCCCATCCCTGCAGGAAGCAGTGTCCTGGGGGCTGACGCAGAGGTGGGGGAGGAGAAGCCCAGCACACTCTGGAAAATGAGGGCACCAAGCACAGTGCACACACTATAATCCTAGCACTCGGGAGGCTGAGGCAGGAGCACTGCTGTGAGTTTGAGGCCAACCTGGGCTACAGAGTGAGACCCCGTCTCAAAACAAACAAACAAACAAAAAGAAAACAAAACAAAATGAAAATAAAGATGGTAACACTATATCATGGAACATTTGTGAGAATTAGTTAAAAATTAAGCCTGGGGAATGTGATCAGAGATGGAACAGGGTGAAGGAACAGGAAAATGTGTTCATAAATCCAGCTATGCTATTTACAAATCTGTAGCCCCAGGCAAGTACTTCATATCTCTAGGCTCCAGTTTCCTAATCAATAAAATCTAAACAGTATCTAAACAGTATCTGCTTGATAGGGTTGTGAAAGGAGCAAGTGGGCGTGAACATCTCATGTGAATTAATATGTAATGAAGCAGTCAAAAAAATTTTTTGGCTGGGCGTGGTGGCATACATCTGCAAACTCAGCACCCCAGAAGGCTGAGACAGGAGGATCATTGCAAGTTTGAGGCCAGCCTGGACTGCAAAGTAAGCTCAAGACCAGCTTGAACTGCATAGTAAAACCCCATCTCGAAAAGGCCAAAAAATTTGTTATTATGAAAGTACTTGTTGTGATTATTATTAGAAACACAGGAACAGTGTTCTGATGGGAATGCCTCTTACAATCTTGACTTGCAAGGGGATAAGTGGATTGGGCGATGCCAGGCCATGAATGTAAATCTGTGTGTTTGCCTTCTCACCTATTTCTTAGAGAAGCTGTCCTACTTAGTAGGTAAATTGTGTGCTGCCGCTGTTCCTACCTCCAGGGAGCGGCAGGACACTGCCTGAACAGAGGAAGAACCAGACAGGGTCCCAGCACATGGCAACTCCTGAGTCAGCGTGGACGCTCTGTGGCCTCAGCTCTGCTGTGGCCTCTGCCACACTCCACCCCCACCCATCTGCTGCTCTCTCTCCTCCTCTCTTCCCGTTTCTGGTCCACCTGCCAGAGTGACATCTCTCTGCTTCTCCCTCTCTCTCTTTCTGACTGCAGAGGTGGTGAGTGAGATCGAACCGTATAAGGAGTTGTTCTTGTTTTATTTCCATTTCCCTTTTCATCCACAAAACTCTTTCCCTCCCTCCCTTAGGCCCTTAGGCCATCGAGCTGATGATTTTGATGATATGCTGTTGCACACATAAGTGAACTTATAACTTTTATTCATTTGTTCATTCACTGGGTCTTTTGAGACAGGGTCTCCCTATGCAGCCCAGGCTTCCTCAAACTTCCTCAAACTTTCAATCCTTTGACTTCATCCTCTGGAATATTTTGTTATCCTATGTGGTTTGTGTTTGTACGTCTGCCTACCGTACTGACTTATGCATCCCCAAGCCTCCTGCTACCAGTACTACAGTGAGGTGAATGCTTGCTCACAGCCCTGGAGGATCCATGTGAGAGTCCCTGGAGTGGAGGCCTCAGAGTCACCCACGGGGGCTGTGCATGACTCCTTTTGGGAAGTACTGCTAGACTGCTCCAGAACTCCAGGGGCTCAGCCTGGCCGCACTCTCTCAAATCCCTGCATGGAAAGACTTGGCCAAGCTGGAGCCCAGCTTCTATGGGCTGAAGGCCCAGTGCCCAGGATGGCCCCAGGCCTTGTAGGAACGCCTGTCAAGAGAAGGCGTCATTCATGGTTCCAGCCAAACCTGATACAGATGCCGCTGAGCCCTCACAGAGCAGGGGCTGTAGAGAGCTTCCAAGCTGAATCTTTTCCTTGACTTTTGAGATGGAAATCCACTTTCAGGACCAAAGAGCCCTCTCTTTAAAATGGAAGCCCTTGGGGAAGAAAAGATGATATTCCTCTCTCTTCCCCTGTCCTGCACCTTGTTTTGAACCCCTGGGCACCTCCCCTCTCCCTGCTGTGGGCGCCTTGCTTTAACTTACTGCCTTTAATATCACTGCCTTCTGTGCTAGAGATGCCAGT